CCCCTCCTTTTTTTCTTTTTTTTTTTTTTAAATTCTGGGCCAGCTTTAGCTCTGAGGCTCCAGCTCTTAGGCCTCCCCTGCTGAAAGTAGGTATCTGGTTTCTTTCGGTTCTATAATTGAAACAATGTATAACTCCATGTATAACTCCAGCTCTGAGATCCCAGCTCTGAAAGCGGGTTTCTGGAGTTATTTTTAGCTTCTATATGTTACTATGTTTCTTAAACTGCAGGCTCAGAGGCCTGCAGCAGCAGGCGTATCTGCCGTCACTGAAGCAAGCAAGCCTCATGTTCAGTTTAAGCTGCCTGGCTGCCAGTTGCCATCTTGGCTGTCAGTTAATTTGCATATCTCGCCGATTAGCCAATGGGAAGGGTAGCAGTCGTACGCCAATTACCATGTTTCTCTTTTATTAGTGTAGATATAAACTAGATCTACTAAAAAGTAACAGTACATTCATCTTTCATTTTGTAAGAATCCATGACTTTAAATTGTTTCTCTTCTGTGTGAACTTTTCCAATTTTCTAATAGTGCAGACTTAAAATGAATGATTTGGTATATTTTAAGGCTGATGCTTCCTAACCAATTTACTAGCCAAGGACTCTCGCTACCGGTTTTCACACACAAATGTAAGCGTTCCATTACATGACACTAATTTTGAGAGGCAAGTGGTGGCTACATTTCCTAGACCAGTTCTGCCTACCTTTCGGGAAGTAGGTACTCCACAGAATCGGATTACATACATATTGTGTCTGTTGTACATTTTTCCCTTTTTTTAAAAAAAATTTTATTGTTAAAAGTAAAAGATGTCCCCTTTGTGTTTGTTGTTTTTTTCCCATTGACCACCTCCTCCCCACACCCACCCTTTGCCACCCTGTTGTCTGTATCCATGAGCTGTGCACTTATATGCATATAAGTTCCCTGGTTAATCTCTCCCCCCTGTTGTTGTAAATTACTTATGCCAGCACTGGGTCCAAGTTGTCCTTAAAAGTGAAAACTGTAAATACTTTCTATACTTACGGTTACATCACTGTCCCATTTAATACATGTTTGCAGACACTAGGCTTTATCTGTGAGACGCTCTATTTTTATTTGTAAAATATGAATTAAGCAATATTAAGAGTTCATTTAAATCCCTCTTAGCACAGAATTTGCCTACAAATCTCTACAAACATACTTAACACAGTTGATTTAGAAATGTAATATTTATTTAAAAGTAGCTATCAAGTTATAAAAGAATACTTGCTTAAAATCATAAAAATAGTATAATTCCTTTTAAACAGATAATATTTTCACTACAATTGGCTTTCATTGAAATATATTATCTTTTAAAAAACCCAGTATCTTTTCATTGTTGAGCATCGCAGGCTTTCCGAATTATTAGGATGCCTTAGACACTGACTATTTTACTAGAATAATGTCTTAGGCTACTTTGTACAGTCATTGTGTTTAGCATTTGGGACAGCAGGTCTTCTTCTTTCCTTTTCAGTAATTGGTAAGTCCCATCGTCGGTGCTGCAGCTGATCCTTCAATTCCAGAGGCTTCCTCTGGTGCCTGCGGCCCCTGACAGTGGTACTTCACTTTAAGGGGTTTGCTCGGGTGCCAGACCAAGTGAATACGACAGGGAATGATTTCCTAGAAAATAGGGATTTTAAAACATTAAGAGCTGCAAAAAATTCTGGTAAAAACAAGTCTATGTATAATGTTGTGTTTTACCTGTGTTGAGAATTCATGGAGTAGGACCGTATAGTCAAAATCAATGGCATCCTCATCTGTTTTCTAGAGAAAGGAAAAAAAAGTTAGTGTAACCAACAGGTAGGTGTAGATTAGCTCAGAATTTGAAAGGCTTCTCTTCAACCAGTGCACTGCTTATTTGTAAAGTGGCAGGCAATCTTCCTCACCTCTTATTCACTTGATTTCTGTAAGTTTTACTAGTAACTAAACCAATTTCCTATTTTATTTTTGACACTTCCTGGTTTTTTGGTGGGTTTTTTTTTTTTTTTTTTTTTGGTGGCGGGGGGTGTGGAAGCTAGGGTCCTTATCTATCGTAAAAATGGAAGGGAAGAAAATAAAATAAATTCAACTTGGATTATAATTTTTAAAAATATATTTTTATTGATTTCAGAGAGGAAGGGAGAGGGAGAGAGAGAGAAACATCAATGATAAGAGAGAATCATGGATTGGCTGCCTCCTGCAGGTCCCCCACTGAGGATTGAGCTCACAACCCGGGCATGTGCCCCGACTGGAATCATGATCTGATTCATAGGTCCACACTCAACCACTGAGGCACACTGGCCGGGTCATAGTTTTAATTTTATAATTTCAATCTACTAGGTTTTATTGAGACTATTAATGTAAAAAAGCAAAGTCAAACCAAAGGATTAGATATTAAATTTTGCTTAAAATGATGGAGATTTTTACAAACCATGAACTTCCCAGCAGGTGGGGAGGGTGCTAGAGGGAGAGGAAATGAGAGGGCCTGGTTTGATCAGAAATTGACTGTTTTTCTGTGTGTCTGCATCATGGGTAGATTTCCTCCCCTCCTGCCTGGCAGTGAACATGCGAATAGTCAAAGCAAGTATCGGAGGCACAGGCTGTACAGTCAGAGAACTCATGAGAGGATACCCAGTGTCGCTTTTATAAAAAAACAGTTTCTGGAGACCCCAGTGGTCAGTTTGGCATTGTTGGGTTTAAGGGTGTAGGTAGCCTTGCTTGACCTTCATCTGGTAACTATCTTGACCTTGAAAGGAAATGGTGGCCTCAAGATGGCCCATACCAGCAGGCCACTGCATTGTATGACTTGTCTCAAGCTTTTGTGCTGCCCGCACTATTTCTCAAGGCCTCTCTATTAACCATGTATTCTTTTATCATAAAAAAAAAATTGGTTTTCCTTATAAACTTAACATGTTTTTCAGGTCAATGCCTTCTTATTCTGTTTCTGCAAACAGCATTTCTGAATCATGGCTGTCTACAGATTTGAGGCAAAAAAGAAAAAACAGGCAAGTCTGGAAACTGGGATTCCAACTCCATTTGACAAACTATTCTGCTACAGTGTTACCCATTTTTTCTTACAAAAAAATTGGATTATTATAATGCTTGGAAACCAGGTACTATTTCATGAAGACCCTCCTCAGTGAAGTCACTGAAACAGACGCTTGCATTTCTGTTTTATGGGTTATTCCTCCTCCAGGTGGAAACACCGTTAAACCAAACCAAACAGCGGGGCTTTTTACAGAACTTCAGAGGGGACAGTGTACACCCCAGCTGGCAAGGTATTCCAGGGTTCAAACTGTCCTTGCCGAATGGAGCTCTGCCAAGAAGTCATTATTTTTAATATTATTCAGAAATAATCTCCTTGGCGTCTATTCAAATCGTCACAAAATGCCACATCATTATAGTCCAAATTGGCGGTGATTTTCTGTGACATTTTCTGGTAACTCAGCACTTTAATCTTCCTAGAGGCAGACTGGAAGTATTTTGTTTGTTCCCTTTTACTTTTGTACCACCCCTCCACCTCCACCCCTACCCAAATCCCCCCCAAAAAGAGAGAATGATCCTTAGAAGAACCAGTGTGGTTTTAGTAGAGAGTGAGTAAGCTCAGACTATTAAGATAAAGTAGATTTCTTAGCTGAATACATAAGGTAGATAAGATGGTTTCTGTAATGTGCCTTGGCCACCGGGGGCCTCTTTCGACAGCAGGACTTGAATTGATTGATAGTGACGGGCTGCAGATTAGGTAGTCTGGGTTGCTGACAATGTCTGGTGTTGATAAGAGTTGGAACAATGCTCAGATGTACTATTCTCA